CCCCTTTGGTGGTCGAACGACCCTTTCACAGGGGTCGCCTAAGACCATCCTGCATATAAGGTATTTACATGACGATTCATAACAGTAGCAACATTACAGTTATGAAGTAGCAACGAAAATAATTTTATGGTTGGGTCACAACATGAGGAACTGTATTTAAAGGGCCAGAAGGTTGAGAACCACTGCGTCTAGTCTAACCAATTGAGTTACCTGGCCAGGGCCATAAATGTTAACTGAATAAATAAACAACAACTGACAACACAAGTCTTCAACCTTATCTCATCCCAAACTGGCTAGTCTTCTTTTTAACATTTCCTTGACTATTAAGCCAAAAAAATTGATGTTATTAATAATGATCCTGAGTTAGCAAAAAAATATTAAATTATGCCCAGTACACTCTGTTTAAAGTGGCCAGGAAATGTATTAGAGGGCTCCATCAAGAAGTCAAAATAATTACATTGGCCATGTTTAAGAGGTATGGGAATTCTGATCCAGTTCTCCATGGAGGAACTGAATAGAGGTGACTTGAGAAATTAAGGAAACTTGGCTTCCTCTAGCACTTAGAGTTCCTCAGCTAGCTTCAGAGACTGACTCAGAGCTTCCATGAGCTGAAAGGCCCACCCATACCCTCTTCCATGAGCCCATGGAAAGAAAATTGGAATAAGGGATCAGGAGACCTGAGTCACTACTATCAACCTGTTTGACCATGGGCATGTCACTTAACCTCTGGGGGTTGGGCTAGAGGTTTTCTAAGGATCTCTTCAGTTCTAAACCTCTAACTAGAGACCCAAACAGACTACCACAGTGTGGGGCTTCCAAGAACAACAAGAAATTGCCTGCAGGGAATAATAGTAGTAGAAGTGTAGTAGTAGAAACAACAGCTATTGCTAAATTTTACTGAGCACTTATTATGATACACGATATTCTAGACGTCTCACTACTAGTAATAATGGCACTCACCTTATAGGACACTTACTGTGTTCCAAGTGCTTTGCATATATTAATTCAATCTTCACAACAACCCTATAAAGTGAGTCCTATTATTATCCCCATTTTACAAAGGTGAAAACTGAGACACAGAGAGATTAAGGGACTTGCCCAAGGTCTCACAACTATCAAAGGATGGAACCAATTGATTTGAACCCAGACCCATACTTTTAACTACTATACTATACTGCCACCCAAACTATTACTGTATAATGCTTTCACTTCAGAGGTTGCACAAAACAAGAAATGTGTTGTAGTTACTTATGTGTCATACTCCCCTCTTCACTAATGCTAGAAAAATTAGGTTTTACTCCAATGTGATTTTAGACAGATCAGATTCCAGAGCCTGAGATAGCAAAATATATTATTTATTAAGAAAATAATTAATTACCTTT